TTCATATAATTAATTGTTCTTTAGGTGTTTGGTAGAATTTACATGTGAACCTATTTGGCCTTGAGGATGTTTTTCTTAGGGAGTTGATTGATGATTTGTTCAATTTCTTTTTCTAAGATAGGATTATTTCAGTTTTGTATTTCCTCTTCTGTTACTCTGGGCAATTTATATTTTTGCAAATATTTGTCAATTTCACTTAGATTGTCAGATTCATTGGCATATAATTGGGCAAAATATTTCCTAATAATTGTTTTAATTTCCTCTTCATTATTGGTGAAATCACTGTTTTCATTTTTGATGCTGGTAATTTAGCTTTCTTCTCTTTTTTAAAGCAAATTAACCAATGGTTTATCTAATTGGGTTTTTTTTTTCATAAAACCAGCAACTAATTTTATTTATTAGTTCAATACTTTCTTACTTTCAATTTTGTTAATCTCACCTTGGTTTTCAGGATTTCCAGTTTGGTGCTTAATTAGAGATTTTTAATTTTTCTTTTTCTACCTTTTAAATTGTATACTCAATTCATTGATCTGTTTTTTCTCTATTTTATTGATTTAAGAGTTTAGAGATACAAAGTGCTGAATTACTTTGAGTGTTAATCTACTTCAATGAGGTGATAGTCCTATATCCCTAAAACACCTGTTCATTTTCTTTTTCATGTCTCAAAAGAAGCTCCCTAGAATAAAAACTTATTTATTTTGTTACAAATTTTTTAGAAATGACTAGTGTTGTGTAAAGATCCCTGCTAGTTGCTAGAAAAGGGATGTCATCATTTATGCTGGGGGAAATGTGGCTTTTCATTGTGGGAAGAAGATTCCACTTCTAAGTATATATTCCAAAAAGATGAGTGGCAAGACAAAAAGTCCCACATAAACCAAAATATTTACATATCATTTTTATAGTAGCACAGAACTGGAAACAAACTAGATGCCTATCAATTTCTGAATGGCTACATGTTTGAATGAAATGTTATTGTGCTACAAGAAATGATGAATATGAGAAACATAGAGAACTATGAGAACACTTATATTGGATTATGTAAAGTGAAGTAGGCAAAACTGGGAAAACAACATGCGAAATGACTACAGCAATGTAAATGGAAACAATTCCAACAAAATATTCAAACTAAATGCTATGAAATTCTAATGATAAAACTTCTAATAAAATTTCTAATGAAATTCTAATGACAAAACAAAGAAGACATATGAAGAGGCACCTCTTTCCTTTCTATGCAGAGGGTGGGGACTAAGGGTGTGGAATGCTACAGACAATGAGCAATGTTTTTTATATATGTTACTTTATGTTACTCTATATGTTGTTATTTTTGTTGGGTGGTTTTTTTCCATCTTGTTTTAAGGTATGACTAAGCCATTCCTTGGGATGTAGAGGAGAGGGCTATACTTAAGAATGATCACAATAACAGCTTGCTTTAAGGTTTGCAAAGCTCCTTACAAATACCTCATTTAATCCTTACAGGAACCCTAGGAGGGCAGTACTATTATTATCCACATTTTACAGATGTAGAAACTGAGGCAGATGTAGGTTAAGTGACTTGTCCAACATCACACAGATAGCAAATCTCTGTGTCTGGATACAAGCTCAGGTTTTTCTAGCTCCAGGTATGTCCTTTTATCCACTGCTGATTGTCTTGTATGAAAGTGATGAAAACCAAAACATATCAATCAAAAACTTTGTCATACAAAGAGCAATAAAACCTTCCCATTTAGATGGCACCATGGATAGAGCACTGGGCTTGAAATCAGGAACACTCATCTTCATGAGTTCAAATCCAGCCTCAGATATTTACTAACTATGTGACCCTGGGCAAATAACTTAACCCTCTTTGCCTCAGTTTCCTCATACGTAAAATAAAAAGGAGAAGGCAATGGCAAACCACTCCAGTATCTTTGCCAAGAAAATCCTAAAATGGATCACAAAGCCTTGGGCATGACTAAAACAACTGAACAACAACAACAAATATTTAAAAGATTTTTAAATCCTTCTGAATATTTTTCTAGGTTAGAAAAGAGCTAGAGTTTTATGACTAAAGGAGTTATTAGATATAGGAATGCATTGTGGAGAAAGCTGTGCAAGGCAGTTCTATAGAATACAGACAGAATATGGTCCAATCCTGCAATAATGCTTCAGGAATGGGCCTGCCTGAAGATAGCATGGTAAGTTAGATGATCTCTTGAAGTTCTTGACTCCTCTATGAAGCCTTCTCTGATACCACTCCCCCCAACCTCCCACCTCCACCACCCCACCACCACCTCCCACCACCCTCACCCCCATGAGCTACACCACCCAACCCACCCCAAAGTGAGCTCTCGCTCCTCAAATACATGGAGGCACTTTGCCTGGACCTCTCTTTTTTGTTTAGGTAGCTGGCTTTTGCTGTAGTTGTCTGTGTCCTTGACTCTCTCCCTTCCTGCCACCCCATAAGAGTACAGGCTGCATATCTAACTTTGAATTTCCAGTGTCTAACACAGGCCTTGGCACACAGTAGGTATTTAATGCTCGTCAGAAATTAAAGTGGAATTGCTCTATGTTTCTCCACTTCAACGATCTACCAGTCTAAACTGTGACGTATTTACTTGGATGCAAACCTTTCCAATTTAGTCAATGAAACTCCTACTTGACAATGACAATGCTAGGGCATGGTATTTGTGACTTTAAGCAAGATTTTTAAATGTTTCTTCCCTCAATCCCCTTTCCCCCTTACTGTGTTTGAGAATAGCACCCTCTCTGAGTTATGCTATAAAACCTTCATGCTTTCACCCCATTGCAAGCGTCATATGAAGGAGGGAACACCACAGGGAGTGGAAGCCAGAGACCATAAGAAAGGGGATGAGAGATGAGAGACTGTAACCAGCACAGGGCAATCAAGACTTTCTCCTTAGGGTGTCAATATCCTGAGGGAAGCAGGGAGGAGTATACTTTCTCAGCCTGTTGCCTCCCTCCCCTTCTGATTTCTCTCTAGGGATTTCCTATTCTCCAATACAACTACTCCTTACCCTCTATCTCCCTACTCTTCCCCACTGTTCTCAAACATTACCCAGATCTGCTACATCCAACCACCTGTCCTCTGAGCTGTCACCAGACAATACACACATCTTTTTCTGGGTTCCAGTGAGACTATGCTATACCAGGGCAAACTGTTCACTGTGCATACACACACACACACACATACACACACACACACACACACACATTTATGCACACTATTATCACCATCACTACAACTAAATTTACCAGAGGCTCTAGGATTCCTATTATGGCTCTGCCTGGGATATTCCCATAGTATAGGAAGTCATAAGGCAAAAACCTGCCCTGAGAGGCACTTCTGCCAAGATCCTTAGAGATCCAGAGAGTAAGAAGGAGGCTGTCTATTTGGAGTCTTCTATGTGGTGATGAGAGTGTTTTTCGAGAGGGATGCAGGGGAGACTGGATGAGGCTGGAGGAACAGGTTGGGGAAGGCCACCCAGTCTTTGGGCCTAGGTCTTTCTCCTTTTGTGTCTTCATAGTAGTTAATGAGGGTATTCTGAGATGTCTGTGTTGGCTTGGGGTTGTGACTCATGCTGCATAAGAGCCCTTATACAATATGCATCAGAATTTAGGAAATAGTTGCTGACCAAACTGTGGTCATTTGGAACCTAGAGCTAGCTCTTTAAACGATTCTAGCTGAACTCATTCCTGACTTCCCATACCTACAAAATGTGTAATTTGACTTATCACTGAATAAATACTTGTATGTCCTGGAGAGCAAGATTTGCTGGCATTAAAATTGGTGTATTTATTTTAAATGTCATATTTAAAAAACTGTCACATGGCATAATGGATAGAGAGTTGTTTTACAGAAAGGAAGACCTGAGTTCAAGTCCTGCTTCTGAAACATACTGAATCTGTGACCATGATCAATTTTCTTAATCTTGCAATATTCTAGGAAGTGTCCTAAGGCTTACTAGAGAATGTGCTGACCCGTATTGGTAGAGGAAGTTCCCTATATAATGCCATTGTTTGGTCATTTCAGTTGTGTCTGACTCTTCATGACCCCATATTAGGTTTTCTTGACTAAGACACTGGAGTGATTTGCCATTTCCTTCTTCAGCTCTTTTTTTTTTTTTTTTGGTGAGGCAATCGGGGTTAAGTGACTTGCCAGGAGTCACACAGCTAGTAAGTATCTGAGGTAAGATTTGAACTCAGGAAGATGAGTCTTCTTGACTCCAGGCCCAGCACTCTTACCTACTGAGCCCCTAGCTGCCCTCCCTATATAATAGTAAGCATATATACAGTTCTTCAAGGTTTGCAAAGTGCTTTACATATGTTTTATCATTGGATTCTCATGACAACCCTGGGAGATGGGTGACTTATCTAGGGCCACACAGCTAGTGTGTGTCTGCAGTAGAATCAAACTCCAGTCTTCCAAACTCCATATCCAACATTCTATTCACTGGGCAACATATATGCCTATGAGAGAAATAAGAGGTCCAATCTCTATCCCTAATATTTAAAAATGTCTCCTAATATACATTTAGCCTTGCTCTCTTTTTCTTTAACAGCAGCCTGCTTTGCTTACTTCTAGTCCCAGGTATGGGAAGGGAGGGAGAGGCTGATCAAGCAATAGACCTCTTGTACCATAGATCAAACCAGTGGATAGCCTTGGACCTTAAAGACAGGAAGACCTGAGTTCCAATCTTGCCTCAGACACTTACTAGCTTTGTGATCCTGGGGACGTCAACTTAACCTCACTCAGCCTCAGTTTCTTCATCTGTAAAACGTGGATAATAATAGCACCTACTTTCCAGGGCTGTGTAAAGTGCTTTGTAAATCTTAAGATCCTACGTAAATGCTAGCTAGCATCATCATTCCCTCTAACTCTTTCTACAAGAGATGACTACCATTACGTCCTAGGCGGAAATGAAGAGCAGGGGAGGGAATTGGTTTGTAGCTTTGCCTGAACATTTTTAGGATTAAATTTTTAAAAAAAGAAACTCTGAAAGTTATTTTAGAGATGAAAAAATCATAGAAATTTATTTTTAGAAGTACAAATATATCTCAGTTGCATTTAGCTACAGTACAAAGGGAAATCAAATAGCACCTGGGGTGTGTTGGGACTCATAAAGACCTATTCCCCCTAACTCCTCCTTCCATCTGCCTTCTTCTTTTTCAACTCCACAACACAAGCCAACAGATCAACAAAAGAGTCTTTTTTTTTTTCCTTCTATTCTGGCCACTGGGTCTCGAGAGGCCTGATTTTCATGCGAACAGTCCTGAGGGAATAGTCAGAACCTCGGAAGGGGATCCAGACTACTCCATTCTCAATCTCATAAGGACTGTTGTCCCTTGGGTCATAAGACCCTCCCGGGTAGTAAATACCATTTAGATTGGCCCCCTGACAGTTGTTGTACCACCAGCCACCTCCATACATTTCGGCACAATTCTCCTCCCACTGGTCATTGTCCTGATCGAAGGTGCTGAATTGCATGTTGGCATGAGATGTGTACTCAGTTCCTTCCTCCACAGAACCTTCGATCAGGGCATCCCCAGCAGTTCCCCCATAGGAGGAAATCCGTAGGACATACCCTTCTGCCTCGGATCCGACACGAACATTATACTCAGCATATACTTCATTCCCATCCCAGTCCTCCAATTCTACTCGAAGGACAGACTCCCTCTGAGTGAGCAAGTGGAGGTATTCATTACCTAGCCAGAATTCTCCTTCCCCTTTGCCATTGACCTTGCCGAAACCTCTCTTGTAGTCTCTCCATGTCCGGTTAAAATTCAATGATCCATCACTTCTCTGCTGGATCAAAAGCCATCCTCCCAAACTGGTCTCTTGGTCACAGTACACAGAAATAAACTTACTGGATCCTGCTGGCTTGATACTGAAAAGACCACTTGGGGCACCTGAAGGGTGTATTTGCAGGACATCATCACAGTCTAAAAAGAAAATTTGAGCTGGTTGGCAGAAGTTATGCTCAATCAAGGTTCTAAAGTCAGGCCTGGGCCTAGATAGAATTAAAACAGATCCCGGCCTCCCAGGATATACATTGGGTAAGAACCTATGCAAAAAAAAAAAAAAAAGGACATTTCACATAGGGTTTTCCTCAGAGGAAAATCAGAGCTTTATTTGAATATCATGGTAAGTGGTACGTGACCAGCAGTGATGATATTTAAAGATCACTTATTATTACAGTGTTGTAGCTTTTCCCCCCTATTATCCTACCTGTTCTAAATGTCAACTGAGACATGCAAAGACTAATCAGTGAAACGGGAAGGGGATATGCGAAGGGGCACTCACCACTGTGCATTCTGAATGTTAGATTTATCTACCTGGGCCAGCCTTGGAGGGCTAGCTCAAAATTGGTTTTCAGAGGAGTTTGTGGGTACCTCGGGCACTGCGGGTTCTACTATGACTTCCTTTGCTACTACGGGCTTTGATGAATGTGCTTTCCTCTCTGTGGATCTCCCCATCAGCTTCATCTGCCATTTTCAAGCTCTTGCTTCCTTTGCTGAAAGTCTTGCTACTGGATACTACTGTTCTGTGACTAACACTCCCTTCACTTGCAGGGGAAAAGACAGGCTCCCCAAAGTGAAATGAGCTTAAGTCATCAGTGTCTTCATCATCCAGATGTGATGCTGAAACCTTACTGCCGGATTCTGGGGATGTCTCTGAGGCATAGCTAGAATCCCCTCGGTTGCTTGAACTGTGGAATCCAGTTGATCCAGTGCTGAAGAATTTAGCATGTTCAGGATGTAGACGATGGAATTCATCTAGGCTACCTATGCCTGTGAAAGATAATGAGCCGCTCTCAGGATGCTCAAAATTAAAATCTGGTATGTCACCACAATCGGCACCATCTTCTGAGTTGACCACTTCTTTGGTCACTTCCTTTCTGCCATCAGGACCCACAACAGTCTTGGTGATAGTTTTGGAACATGAACGGCGTGTGGTGGTGGCACCAGATACGGCCTTTTCTTTACTCACTACAAACTCTTTATCTCCTCCAGAAATAAGTTTGCTGGTCTGGAAACCTCCGCCTCTACTTGAGCTCCCACTTGCTGATGATTCGTCATATCTGCTCCAATCCTGATGACCCCAATCTGGGTTGGCAGGCCTAGAGCTCCCACGCCCTGAGCTATCAGGCCTGGAGTCGCCAGATCCATAGTTCCCACGCCCTGAGATGTCAGGCCGGGAGTCCCCAGATCCATAGTTCCCACGCCCTGAGATGTCAGGCCTGAAGCTCCCAGATCCATAGCTCCCATGCCCTGGGCTGTCAGGCCTGAAGCTCCCAGATCCAGAGTTCTCTATGTACCGTGATTCAGTGCCTCCAAAATTCTGGGTTCCAGAAATTCCACTCCCAGGACTTTCTGGTCTATAGTTTCCAGGTCTGGTGCTTCCAGGCTCCGAGCCTGTTCCAGAAGGTGAGGCACCTGCTGGGGAATTCCTATCTCTGCCTGGTGTCTCCAACACCATTTCCATCTGTTTCATTTCCATTAATGCTTTCCACTCTGGGGCTTCCTGAAGCTGGCTTTTGAACTTCCCGGGAATCAGATCTTTTGCAATCTGCATTTTCAAGTTGGGCAAGTATTGGACCTCTCTGCTGGGGTATAAGTTGATGGCTGCCACCTGCTCAAGTTGCTTCTGTTCCTCTTCATAGCTCTTTATGTTGAGTTCACGTGCTAACGATCTACTACATGACCCTTTGCAGGATCGGATCTTGATGTCAATGTCCACCTAGAGAGAAGGAGAAAGGGAAGAATAAAGATAGAAGGTGAGAGTCATGAGCTATGATGGGTGAGGCCCTGATGGTTTGTAGTTTTCTTGTGGCTCTATTCATTTCTTTGACTCATGGATGTGCCAACCAATACTCTCCATTTTCCATCTGATGGAGGATCTAGGAAGAGTTAGGGTTTTCTGGTGGCATGGTATAATGAAAATAACACAACATTTCCATGTGGTAAAGAATTTTTAATAGAAGAACTAGAGTTTTCTGTGAATATGAGATAATGAAAAAACTCAGCATATGGAGATAGAAGCACCTGGGTTCAGATTTTACCTCTCTCACTGTGTGACCTTGGACAAGTCATTAGCCTACCTTAGCCTGAGTTGCCTCATTTATAAAGTGAGGGGGTTAGGTTAGATAATTTCTAGGGCCCTTTGAGCTCCATATCTTGTGAACTTGTGGTTTAGGGGAAAGTATGGTATTTAGAGTCAAAAGACCTAGATACAAATCCTGATTCTCTGTCACTTAGTACCCATGTGACCTAGAGGAAGTCACTTAGGAAGTCACTTAACTTATCAGGGTCGATTTCCTCATTTGTAAAATGGGGCAGTAGAGATTAGAAACTTTCTAGTTCCTCTTCCAAATCAAACTCTTATGACCCCATAACCCACTGGGGAGTTAGAGCTTCTCAGTGACTCCCTTAAGGCTAGCCAAGAAGGAAATATGAATTGGGGTCTAGCTTAGCTATTCTGACTAGAGACTGAGGTTCTATCTAAGTTCATAGGAAGCAAGGATCAAGGGACATCTCATAAAAGCGAACTGTTTGGAAAGACTTCAGAGACTAGAGGATGATTGTTTCTCATTCTTCCACACCTGCTATTTGGAAACAGGGGAACCAGGCTCATAAGTCACCTACCTCAAGTCGCTTCATCTCCACCAGCTGATTACGGATATCGTTCTGCAGAGAAACGATTTTTTGTACTTGTTCAGTCACTTTGCGCTTCAAGGTTTCAATTCTTCTCCTCAGATCATCGGACACTTGGCTAAACGCATTATCATTATCTGAAACAGGAGATATGAGTAATGTGACAAGTGCCAAGTGGCTTGCTTAGAATAGCCAGAGTCAAAAGGATATGCTTCTACATTAAAAAAAAAAAAGGCCCATAGATATTTAGTTTGAAATCTGCCATGTATACTTAACTTGTAGAGCTAAACCAATTAGTCATATGACTTTTGGCATGTAACATGGCTTAATTTCCACTGGAGTTCTCCTCCTGTTTCCGGTCATGGTATGGAGGTAACCCAGAGCACTCGATGTCTGCTTGGGAGAGCTCTAGTTCTGCCAGGTTCTACTTACCAAGGTAGAAAGTGCAGGCCAGATGATAGATTCTTTGTTATCTGAGGACAAGCTTGCTAAATTGGGAGAGGAACTTCTGCCATGTTGACCATAAGGCACATAGCTTTCAAAGAACATATATTAAAGCGTTCCCTCTCTGTACAACTCAAAGCTACAATTGAATGACCTGGTTGCATTATATATATATATATATATATATATATATATATATATAGATAGATATAGATATAGATATAGATATAGATATAGATATATAGATATATATATATATATGTGTGTGTGTGTGTGTGTGTGTGTGTTCCCAGCAGGATGAAATTACTACTCTTGCTGCAATAAAAAAAAATCACAGTTTCCATGTGTATTTTAAATGATAATTACAAAAAGACACAGGCAACATGGTTTAGGGGACAGGGGGATGTCCTCAGAATCAGAACGACCCTGATTTAAATTCTACCTTGTCATAAAAAACTCAGTAATGCAGTAGATAGAGCACTGGACCTGCAGTCAAGAAGACCTGAGTTCAAATCCAGCCTGAGACACCTTCAAACTCTGTGACTCTGAGCAAGTCACTTAACCTTTATCTACCTTAGTTTCCTCAACAGTAAAATGAGGATAATAATAGCATTCCCAAGATTGTTGTGAATATCAAATGAGATAATTTTTGTAAAGTATTTAGCTTAGTGCCCAACATATAATAGGTGCTTAATAAATGCTTATTCCTTCCTCTCATGTATATTATTTGTGTGATATTTATTTAAGTCCCTGGTATCTCCCAGCAAGTCTCAAAGACTCTAGGCTAATGATTAGATGCTGACCAATCAACCATTAGAAGGAGTTTCCTCTTCAGTAGTTCCTGACGTCAATGAAATCACTACTTTAATAAAGATTGTTTTACCACAATCCAGTGGGAAGATCATATACCTAAGTTATAATCCTCACTCCAACATGTGACTTTCAATGTCACCCACAAGCAAATCAGAACTATGGATGTGCCTCAGTCTCTCTGTGAGATAAAGGGAGCAGCAGCAAATCCCACCTTACATCACAGGAATCATCCCAACACGACAGAGTGGGCACATGAGATAGTATCTGTCGATGCACCAATTTTTTTTAAAAGAATAAATGGAATGTAGAAATCCAAGGTAATATCTTCTGCATAGAAAGTGTTGGTTGCTACCAAATCTAAGTATCAAATACTCACTATAGTCGTTGGCTGTGTCCCCTCTCAGAACCTCCATGATGGTCCTGGTCACTGAGCTAGAATCTTTATTGTTCCTTTGATAATCAAACAACAAATTTCTGATCTTGGTGATTCTATTAGTGAAATCTTCATTGGTTTCATCAATCAGTCCCTTCATCCTGCATCCAGAAGGGCACTTATATGTCTAAAAAGGAGGCAGGGGAAAGAGAATTGTTTTAAGGAATTATTTGATGTTAAAGAAAGCAGCATGTTGAGGATGAGTAAGATGAAAATTTCCCAAACTACAATCAGTGGAGATAGAAAGAAAATCTTCATGTGTTTTTTATTGTTAGACTTTACCCCTCCAGGAGCCATAATGCCCATTGCTTCTCTCCCCCCACCCATCTGGTATTTTCTTGACTTAGGAGTGGTTCACAGCATTGGTTTGTGCATTTGGAAACATTGGAAAGGGATGTGCACAACTACAAGACAAGCCCCAGGTTCCCCTCAACTTTGAGGCCAAAGATAATATCTAGGTTCTACCTAGATACCACCTAGTTCAGGAGTTCTTAGCCTTCTTCTGTGTCATGAACATTTTCTGCAGTCTAGTGAAATCTATGGACCCCTTTTCAGAATAATGTTTTTTAAAAGCATAAAGTAAAATACACAGGATGGCAAAGGAAATCAATTATGCTGAAATATAGTTATTAAAACATTTTTAAACAAGTTCAAAGACTCAAGGTTAAGAATTTCTAATCTAAAGACCACCCAAGTCATTTCTAGGCAATACCTAGAATTTAAGTTTCAAGTATTTGCTACAATCCTTCAGGTCCTGTTTACTTGGAATCAAACTACCTTTGGCTGGTTAGCCCAATGGTTAGTGTCCATCGGTAGATAATTAGATATTCTTACTGTGAGAGGTTGTGTTAGTACCCCTCAGGGCTTGTTTCCTTTCCATTTAGATATTCCTAACCAGGAACTGCTAATTAGTTGATTGTAACAAAAGAGTTGGCTGATTCATACTCATTTCAAAACCTTGGCTTAGTAGGGTTTTGGTGTAGGTATTAGACTGCTTTTCCCCCTCTCCCTTGTCTTGCTCTTTCATCAAAGTCCTCTGTTGCCTCATTATGGCTCAGGGGTGACTGTGGTCTCTTAAAGCCTAGGCCAGCAGGGTACAAGCTCTATAAGGTTCTATCAAACTGGAAGGTGCCAGGTGTGGTCTGCTGATGAACTGCAGTTTGGCTATTCAGGTTCTAGCCTAAGCTTAACCGGGGAGGATCATCACTGGATTGGCCACAGGATGAGGAATATTTTGGTCAAAGCAAACCAGATGCCAAGTGGTAGAGGGAGGTTGCAATGTCCTTTAGCGACCAATCATTGAAAAAGGGCTGCCTTACCCAATCTTCATCAGAACAGAAGGGCCAGTCACCTTCTTTGCAGGAGGAGGAGACGCGTTCCACAACTCTGGGACCCCGAACACCTCCTCCTTCAGCTAGGAAGCTTCCTTCGTCTTTAGTTGCCTGTAGAGAATCAAAAGACAAAGGAAAAAGTTGTCACCAGTGTGTATGATCTGGGAAAGGCTCCAAACCACTATTTGAGGTCCAGGAGCTGGCTAGTGCAGTGCATAAAGTACTACATCTGGAATTAGGAAGATGTGAGTTGAAATCCTGCCCTGATGCTTACCAGTTGTGTGATCCTGAGCTAGGATCTGTCTGTCTCACTTTGCTCATCTCTAAAGTGGAGATAATAGTAACAGACCTACCAAGATTGTTGGGAGAATAAAATAAAATAGTATCTGTAAAGTGTTTTGCAATCTTCAAAGTACAAAATAAATACTAGTTAACGTTATTTTAAGCAACAACAAAATGTTTGGGATGGTGACAAATTCAGCTAGACTTTTCCATGTGTATTAATAATTAGGAATAGAGTGTGACCTTGGTGGCATGCTGCTGGCAGAACATGGTTTTGAATCAATGCAGAGAATGGCGTTGCCACTGTTTGTGACTATGTGAGGGATAGAGTTGGTGCCAGAGCTTTGGAAAAGAGAAATAGTCTTTCTACTTTGAGACAACTTGAGTGGCTCCATACTGTCTTGTGGACTGACTTGAGAGGCATAGAGAGAGACAGGCTTTGGAAGGCAGAAGGGTAAGCCTGCACCTCAATGTGTTTTACAGCTTAGTTGGGAGTTGAGTTACAGAAGTATCCTAGTGATAGTCTGGTGAGTGTCCCAAGCTCTTCTAAACCCTCTTCCAAAGTCACCATCTAGTTCAGAAATAAAATCAGGTGACAGCAGACTCATTAATCTACAGTGCCACTATTTCTCAGACAGCAAAACACACATCCTTCACTTTAGACCAATCCATCTCTTCACTTTCCTCCAACACCATGCTTATTCTTGCTTCAAAGTATTTGTTCAGCCCCCTCCCACTTGGAACATCTCCTCCTCTTGACTCATACGAATCCTATACATCCTTCAAATCCCACTTCCTCCAGAAAGTCTCCTCTGATGACCAGACCATATTGATGAAGGTATTTATAAAGAGCTGTAAAGTTTACAAATCACTTTACATACATTATCTCATTTGAACTTCACTACAACTTCTTGAGATAACTACTAAAAGTATTATTATCTCACTTTTACAGGTGAAGAAACTGAGACTCAGGTCAAATGACTCACTCATAGTCACAAGGCTACTAAGCTTTAGAGATGAATTTATAGCTTGGTCTATCATATGCCAGAGGCATAGATGTGATTATCATGACATTCAGATTCCAAAATCATCTTTCCACGTCTCTGTTGATTTGAGCCTTTCCTTTTTGGAATAGGGAAAGCTGGATAAAAAGCTAGTCAGCCCATGGAACTTTATTTTGGGAGACTCGATTTTATATTCAGATCCACAAATAACATTTGTGATCCCAGATTCAAAACATGATAGGAAAAATTCTCACATGTGATTATCCATTTTTAAAAGTAACAGCTAAGTGTGGGGCTTCACCATTTCTATTTTAAGACTCAATTTTTGAGGCCTTCGCTGAGAACGTTTTAATACGCCCAGAAGAAAGACTGACTCATAACTAGGCGCAACTCCCTAGAGCTTGTTAAGGGAAGCAGGCCGCTGAATTTTTTGTCTGTTGCATATAATAGTAACAGAGAAGCAATTAAAAGCCACTCATCAAATTGAAGTAAGCCAAAGACAACAAAGCCAAATCTTGATTATCTGTAGTAATGAGGGGCCCAGAAAGCAAGAATAATTGAAATCCATATATGATCCAATGCCTCATTATATTTGTAACTTTTTAAAGTTTTTGAATGCCTTAAAAAATATCGGGCATTCATTTCCCATTCCCAAGATACCATCACTTCATGGAACCCTCCCTCCTTGGGGGAAGATTGGAAGACAGAGAGAGAGAGAGACAGAGAGAGAGAGAGAGAGAGAGAGAGACAGAGAGAGAGACAGAGACAGAGAGAGAGACAGAGAGAGACACAGAGAGAGACAGAGAGAGACAGAGACAGAGACAGAGACAGAGAGAGAGAGAGAGACAGAGAGAGACAGAGACAGAGAGAGAGACAGAGAGAGACAGAGACAGAGAGAGAGACAGAGAGAGACACAGAGAGAGTCAGAGAGAGACAGAGACAGAGACAGAGAAAGAGAGAGAGAGAGAGAGAGAGAGAGAGAGAGAGAGAGAGAGAGAGAGAGAGAGATTTTGGAAACATTGCCATATGAAGCTTTTCTGCATTTAGACAATTTCCTGGAGGAAAAGGTTAACAATTTTCAGAAAGCATAAGCAGTTCATAAGACTACCATTACTTCTGAAACACCATTATCTGTCTTACCAACTCCCTATGCTCCTGATTAAATAATAATTCACATTTATCTGGCACTTTAAGGTTTGCAAACCTCTATTCTCACTACAAGCCAGTAGCATTAACATTATTATCCTCATTTTTATGGATGAGAAATGTATTCTGTGGTGGATAGAGAGCCAGGAAAAACTAATTCAAGTCCTTTGTGACCCTGGTATTAACCTTTTGGTGTTCTAGGCAAATCTCTAAGCCTATAAATTATCAAGACCTAATTTGATAAAGTTAGTTGATTCTCAAGGAAGTCCACCAGGGATAGCACAGCTCCAGTCTCTGCTCTTATGTGTTTTACAAATGAGGAAACTGAGACTCAGAGAAATGGAGTAAACTTGTCCCATGTCACATAACTAGAAAGTTTGTATCAGGTCTTAAACCTAGACCTCTTTTGATTCTAAGTCATTCTCAAATATACTCTTACTACAATACACATATTTTAAAAGATTACTTATGTCCCTTAAAAGGGACAATGAAAAATTTCTACAAAAAACTACTATAAAGACAACATTTCTTGTCAAAGTAAAGAAAAGTAGGAAGTTAAACACTAAAGCCTAAGAAAGCCAATATTCTTAACTATAATTACTGAGTCTAAACATCATGGTGTTACTCGTGGCAGAGATTTCCAGGCTTTCCTAACATCCTTGCAAGACTTGGTTGCTCTGGACCAGACTAGAATGTCAAAGCCTTCCCTCCACTCTCCCTCCCACTCCCATTCATCCCTTGTGAATCATTGAGGTTCTTCCTCCAGTCCTTTGTCCAGGAACATGCCAGGCTTATCTAGGGAACTGTGTTCTGGCAGTTCCAAGTGTCCCCAACCATGAAACACCAAGTTTTTAACCGACCAGAAGCAGGAAAATTGATGAACCTGAAAAATAGTAATGATTTCAGGTTTGCAGGCCATTCTCACAAGAACTGCAGGTCCCTGATGGAAGTTTTTGTGGGCTAAGCTGAAAGAGGATAGAAATAAAGGACAAAATAAATCAAGAGAACCATACCCAGGCAGTGCCCACTACACACAGGACCAGGCAGAAGATCCTCCCTGGAAGCATCTTCTCAGGGGGTGGGAATGAATAGCAAAGAACTTCTGTAGAAGGATGACTTACACTGCTTTCTTCTTTCCATTTAAGTCCCTCCAGAAGTCTGTGTTAATGATTAGCTTTGTCATGTTTACAGGGTCAAGAGACAACCTGCATCCCCTTCTCCTGCTGTCAGTTTGGTGCCCCAGAAGCAGTTGCTTAACTTTTCCAAGCTTGTTTGCTTCCGATAAATTGTTGCAATGGTGACATTCACTTCTTAGGCCAGCACTGGGGGTGAGGGGGTGGGGTGGGCTCTGATGGGAAGAGCACAAATTCCTGGAACAGAGTGAATTGAACACTACCCAGAAGTTGATTTTGTAAAACAAAAGGGAGAAGGGAAGAAAATGGCCATACTTTTTCATATGGAGGATTAGAACTGGAGCTACCAGTGTCCCCTAAAACACAACCAAAGTCAAATGGATGTTTAACAACTCCCCCATAAATTCGGTTAGCATAAACCCCTACCTTGAAGCCTAAATTATCCAGCTGAGGGAGCTGCATTTCAAGAATCCCGCAAACCTTTGCCAAATTTCTGCTTTGAAATTAGCTTTGTTGACTAAGCCAGAATATTATTGGTGGCCAAAGAAGAAGACTCGTAGGACAGGAAAATGGAGCTCTCTTTGGAGCCAGAAGATCTGGGCTTGGCCACTTATGAGATACACAAACTTTGTTAAATGTCTTTGCATCTCTGAGTCTCAGTTCACTCATCTGTAAATGATAATACTTGCATTACCTACCTCATTGGGGTTGTTATGAGGATCAAATGAAATGATGGTTATAAAGTATTATTATAAATGTTTGTTATTATGATGACTTCAATACTCCGGAAAATTCATAATCTCATGGATATGAGAGTCTCTTCCATTACAGCAGATTCTAATCTATTCACATTTTTTTTTTTACCTTATGTGATTCTTGTCCATGCTGCAAAGAACTAGATGGTGCAGTGGACAGAGCATTGGGCCTGGAGTCAGAAAGGTCTGAGTTTAAATTTGGCCTCAGACACTTCCTACCTATGTGACTCTGGGCAAGTCATTTAACCTCTGTCAGTTTCTGTTTTCTCATCTGCAAAATGGAAATAATAAAAGCACCTCTGTCCCAGGGTTGCTGTGAGGATCAAATGAAATATTATTTGTGAAATGTTTACCACAGTGCCTGGCACATAGTAGGTACTTAAGAAATATTTGTTTTCTTCCCTGGGCATAATCATGCTTGTTGACTGACTGCCTCAATCCTGACCCAGATGTTCTCCTCTATTCCCATTTACTTTTCTCTGCCCTGCCTTGGCAAGGGGTCTGCTCCTCTTAAGCCTCACACTGCCCAGAGGAAGACCGCTTGGGCTTTGTAGATTATTCTAGATACTTCATTCTCCCACCTCACTGAAGATACAAGGAGTGAGGCTTTGAGCACAAGTCATAGACCAGAAAGCATCAATACCATGTCAGGGCCAAAAGTTACTCTTCTTATATTTCTTGACACAAAGGCTGTGGCCAGTCAGGCATGAAAAAGTGAGGATCTGTGCATTTTCAGGGAGCATTCTAGCACGACACGAAAAGGCCATAATGGGAGGTGAATTCAGAGTCCCTGAAAAGTTCTTAAGCTTAAAGTTGTGGTCCACTCACACAGAATTTTCAGGGATATCATGCTTGCTGTTTCGTATTGTTTCCCTGGACCATTAAACATAGCATCCTTGGAAAGTCCCTAGATAGGCTTTCTGGTGCCAGACTTGCAAAGACTTGGACTCATAATGTTATATTTACTTATCTGTTCATTTATTATATCCCTCTAGAAATTTTTAAAGTCTTTGAAGGCAGGAATGGCTTCATTTTGTCTTCACCTTGAACATAATAGGTGCTTAATAAATGCTTGTTGAATTGAATTGGGGTACCATACCTAAGAACACCTCATGGAGTGCTCAGTGCTAAGGGGGACTGGGTGTATTATAGACAGGCAGACAGTCATTCAGATAGAGCAATGGAAACAAATTTGAAAACCAAAATCCACTGAAATGTTCTTTTTGTGAAACCAAATCAGGTACCATGCTTCCTCTTTCTTCAGAAACAGTGGTGTCTCTCACAACCTCTGGCCAAACTTTATTTTCCATTGTATTTCCTTCAGTACTTCAAAGTATCCAAGGCTTCATCATTGTAGATGTTCCTTCTGCTGATGAAGATCACAATCTCCACCTTCTTGACCAGAAGATAATTTTGTGAATTTCAAAAGATCAGAAGATTTTGGACTTCCCATTTCCATCTTAGCAATATCCCCAAAATATTCCTGCTGACGGAAGCATGCACATTAGGAGCCAGGGACAAACTAGACACACTGAATAAAGGTATTTCCAGATTTTATTAGGAGTCATACTCTATGAGTAGATCATACTCTAGGGTGAACTTCATCAGAACCCCACCCAGGAGGATAGAGGTGGGGAAAGAGAAAGTAACACAACTCACCAGGAGCTGTGATTTTCGTATTTACCACCCAAGCTCTCCAACTCTGAGCCCACTTCTCTCTGGCCTTTGTATGTTCTTGTAAAGGCGTGTGTCCCCTGTTTGAAAGGATGTTTTGTATCAGTTGTTCTTACCTATACCACCAGAGTAAATACACATCTTTAAAAGCTAATTAAGTAGAGGAAAATAATTGATATCAACTGATAATCAATGGGGAAGTACAATTATGAGGGGGCTCATAAGCAATAGCATTAGGGAAAAACTCCCAACCCCTTAGCACTGAAGGAAGAAGCAGTCATCCATACCCTGGCCACTGAACCTTCCAGGTTGAGTATGGGTTGGAAAAGTGACCCCAGACCTTGTCTTAAATATACATTACCTCATCTGATACACAACACGGTGAGGTAGGTGCTACTATTATCCCCATTGCACAGATGTGGGAACCAAGATTTACAGAAGTGAATTGACTTTGTTGTTGTTCATCTTTCATTCTTGAAGAAGATCAATGACATCAGGAAGGTGATGTCTTGACTTGCAAGTGAATTGGATTGAAGTGAGGCAGAGCGGTGCCAAGTCATCAGCCTCATTCTCTCCTCCAGAGTCATTAGAGTCCAATGGCAAGACATAAATCAGGATGACTGGCAATGGTCCAGGATGCAGTGAGAGACTTTGGCCTTTTTAAGCTGGGGTCTTTCCTAGGTGGCAGTTTGTCTGATTCAGTGATTAAAGGCTGGGGAAGAATTAATACAAAAGATGGCCTAGTTTTTCCTTCCCAAAAAATTAGTCTGGGAGGAAAAGACCCTCAGAGCTTCCAGCCAGAACAGAAAACAATTGCTATTTGCATTCACTCTGAGCCATCAAAACCCAAACAAAGAGCAAGTGAGGTTTGGGCTATTGGCCAGTCAGTGAAAGCCAGAGTGATTTGGGCTTAAAGGCATAGTCTAGTAGCTCCATTTGAATCACAATACGCATTTTCAAAGCCTGTTTTTTCAGAGCTATATTTCAAGAAATCATAATGAAACTACGTGAGGCAAAAGAGTTAATAGTCCTGGCTTTTGGGGGGGAAAATGATAGAATAAATAAATAGGAAAGAAAAAAGTAGCCTCCAAATCCTAAAATATCTTGCAAAATATAAGTGATCAAAATTTATATTCCTTTGGACAGAGCACCCACATGTAAGAGGATAACTCCTTACGTGGACAGAGAGACAGAGGGAGGAGGAAGAGGGAAAGGAGGAGAAGGAGGAGGAGGAGAGGAGGAGAAGGAGAAGAAGAAGGAGAGGAGGAGGAGGAGGAAAAGAAGAAGGAGGAGGAGGAGAAAGAAGAAGAGGAAAAGGAGGAGGAGGAGGAGGAGGAGGAGGAAAAGAAGAAGGAGGAGAAGAAGAGCATTATTTATTCTTTGTTCTCAAAGAGGATCAGTAATGTCAGGAGAGTGATGTCTTAACTTGCAAGTGAATCAGTTTTAAGTGAGGCAGGACTGTGCTTCATTCTCTCCTCCAAGCCAAGGTCATAAAGCCATAAAGTATGTGAGCAGGATTAAAACTCACATCTTGCTGATTCCAAGTCAAGCACTCTAACCACCATGCCGCACACACACAAATACCACCTTTGACCCTTGTTTGTGATCATGAGCAAGTCCCTGAATTCCCCTCTAAGACTCATCTAATACTTAAATTATAGAGGTAGCTATCAGCAAGGGCGGAGAGTTATCAAAGCAGGAGCTAAATGTACAAAGACCAAAAAGAAAAAAAGAAAGAAAAAGTAGTCCTTGACCTTTGCGTGTTCTCCTTTATGCTCTGATTTTATTTCAGTTACACAAGGGGTCTCCAAAGTCCTAATTTTAGGCAATTAAAACTTTAATAACTTGAATAAATTAATAAATGGGTACACAAATGAATGAACAGATGAATAAATGGATAGATACATGAATAAATGAGTATAGTTCTTATAGATACGCTATAAGTCTATGCCAGTAGGTTCAACCCAGACCTCAAAATGCAAAATTCCATGCAAACAGAATCCAGAGTCTCCTTCAGCAGCACTGCTGCATAAATCAATCCATGGAATCATGATGATCATAACGATGTGGATACAGTGTACAAGTGTCCTAGGACAGGAGTATAATGTTGAATCTGAAGATGCCAAATTTGTTTTCCAAGGGTTCAATTCTGAAAGATTGTTGTATTGAAATTGGAATATGATTGTCAGCAATAGTAAGTAGGGAGAAAGTTCTAGGAGCATAGATAGCATCGTTGACCTAAAATGGGCCTCAGGGGCAGAGAAGTCAGTTGGCTCACCCAAGGTCACAGAGATAGTGTCAGAGAAGAAATATGAACCCAATTCCACTGAATCCAGGAGAACCAGCGCTCTTTCCATTTGACTTTATTGTTGTTGTTGTTGTTGTATTTGGTCATTTCAGTCATGTCCGACTCTTGATTTTGCTATTTCATATTTTCTTTTCTTTTAGTTTCTGTAGGAATTAATGATAAAGCAGGAGTCCCTAGATGTAAATGACTCATCAGATAACTGTGACCAAACTGCTCAACTCTGTGTATCTTACTACCTCTGTGTTACACAAATAAC